TCCATCCCATAATTTCATCTGCATCCCATAATATTTTATGCCTCTTTTCAAAATCCCCGCAAACCTGCATGTCCTTCCTTGCTGTCCACCCTCTCTGACAGAAGCATGGAGCCTGCACAACTCTGCACTATTGTCATGAGCATTTTAAGCACAGGGCGTCTGATCCTGCAGTATTGCAGAGCTGCAAAAGGGGGACATGACAATTTCTTGGAGGCTAGATTGCTGTGGGCCATAGAAAGAAACAATTCAAGGTTGTTGGCAGCATTCACGGAGCAGCTGCAGACAGTGATGTGCCAGTTCTGGGCCCAAGAGAAGAAGTGAGGTTTTTACTCACGAAAGCTTATGCCCAAATAAATCTGTTAGTCTTTAAGGTGCCACCAGACTCCTTGTTGTTTTTGTAGATACAGACTAACACGGCTACCCCCGATACTTGACACTGACTGGTTGGATCACAATGTAATGCAGGTTTGGGATGACAAGCAGTGGCTGCAGAACTTTCGAATGCACAAGGCCATATTCCTGGAACTGTATGCCAAATTCGCCTCAACCCTCCAGCATAGGGTCACCAAAATGAGAGCCACACTGGCAGCTGAAAAGCAAGTGGCGATTGCACTGTGCAAACTTGCAATGCCAGATTGTTACCGGTCAGTCGAGAACCAATTTGGAGTCGGGAAATCCACCGCAGGGATGGTTGTCATGAAAGTGTGTAGGGCCATTAATCGACTGCTGCTATGTAGGACTGTGACTCTGAGCAATGTGCAGGGCATAGTGGATGGTTTTTCAGCAATTGGGGGTCCCAAACTAGGTGGGGTGCTAGACAGTACACATATCCCTATTTTAGCACCAGACCACCTTGCCAGAGTACATCGACAGAAAGGGCTACTTTTCTATGGTAATACAAGTGCTGGTGGATCACCACGGATGCATTACCGACATCAATGTGGGCTGGTCAGGGGAGGTGCATGACGTGCACATCTTTAAGAACCCAGGACTGTTCAGAAAGCTGCAAGCAGGGACTTTCTTTTCCCCCAGCATACCCCTGGCTCCCATGGCTCACGAAGCTGTACACTGGCCACCTCGACAGCACCAAGGAACAATTCAACTACCAGCTCAGCAGGTGCAGCATGACAGTTGAATGTGCCTTTGGTCATTTGAAAGGTCTCTGGCATTGTTTACTCACAAGATTTGACTTCAGTCAGAAAAATATCCCAATGGTTATATCTGCCTGCTGTGTTCTGCATTATATCTGTGAAGCAAAGGGGGGGAAGTTTTGCTGGGATGGAGGGCGGAGGTGGAGCGGCTGTCTGCTGAATTTCAACAGCCAGACACGAAGTTTCTTAGAAGAGCTCAATGTGGAGCTATACAGCTCAGGCTTTGAAAGAACATTTTAATAGTGAGCCAGAGTAGTGTATGTTGTTGTAGTGTGCTCTACCAAGCCTTGCTCTTTTGCAGCCCAGTATGAATCTTGCAATGAGTGCTACGTGTAGGAAGATAACATTGACAATGCACCTGTCTGAAATTGATGTTATGGGTTCTGTGACAAAATAAACTAACAGGAAATTGGTGGATGTCAGTCCTGCTCAGCACCAGTCAGCATATGTTGTGAACTAATAAAGATGAATTATGTTCCAAAAAATAGAATTGTATTCTGTAACATGCGCCAGGAAAATAAAACAACCATTTAGCACTTTATAAACCATAATAAATTAAGGGAACAGAAATTATGAAGGGGAAAGAACAGTCATTTCCATTTCAGGTACACATACACCAACCATGTCTTTCAGAGGTCAGCGTATGTGCAGTTGTGATTGTCTTTAATGTTCCCCACGGTGGAGTGGTAGGGGTAATGCAGCAGCCCTTGATGCCATGTGGAATGTTGAGGGGAGGTGTAGGGAGGTCCAGACATTGAGTTGTCTATAGGCTGCAGAGGGAGGTCAGCACAAGACTCTTGAGCGCTGGTCTAACAGAGTCCGCAACATCTCTGTTTGCTGCCTGAGAAGCCCCATTATGTCCTGGTGCATCTCCCTCTCCTTTTCCTGCTTGAACTCCCGGGCCTTTTTTCTAACCACTCTTGCCTTCTGCATGCTGTCTGCAAGGGTCATCCTCCAGGCCCTGGTGTCGTTCTCTGATGCAACACTGGCACCATCTCCTGGAACGTATCAGCCTGAGTCCTCTTCTTTCTCCTCCTTATCTGGCTCAGATGTTCCATGGGTGTGGAGGGAGTGACCCTCAAGGCCACAATGGCAGCAGCTGCAGATACAACACAGAAAGGTATCATTGTCAGTGTATTCACGACAGAAATTGAAACTTAGGATACTGAACTAACTCCCCTTGAGCCCCGAAAGTTGTAAGCACTACATTCTCACTTCCCCTTGGAATTGATATAGCACGGTGCTAGGGTTGTCAGGCGTAAATTTTTCGACCGGAACACCCAGTCAAAAAGGGACCCTGGCGGCTCTGGTTAGCACCATTGACCGGGCTGCTAAAAGTCCGGTCAGTGCCTACCCTGGGTCAGCACAGCTCCCAGAAGCAGCAGCATGTCCGGCTCCTAGGCTTAGGGGCGGCCAGTGGGCTCTACACGCTGCCCCCACCCCAAGCACTGGCTCCGCAGCTCCCATTGGCCAGGAATTATGGCTAATGGAAGCTGCGGAGGTGACGCCTATGGATGGGGGCAGCGCGCAGAGCTGCCTGGCCACACCTCCGCCTAGGAGACACCCAGAGGGACATGCCGCCGCTTCTGGGATCTGCTTGAAGTAAGCACCCCCCGGAGCCTACACCCTGAACCCCCTCCCACACCCTAACCCCCTGTCCAGCCTTGAGTCCCCTCCCGCACCCAACTCCTTCCAGTACATAGCACCCAGGGGTCTGGCAATCAGGACAGGGGATGGGCTGTTTGTGCTGGTGCTGCAAGGGGCTGCTAGCCATGGAGGACTCTCGGATCTAGCTGCACACACGTATCCCCCTTCATGCCACTGCCAGTCCAGCAGAAGATGAGCTGTGTTGCACTGCAGCAGACAGGGGCGGCCAGGAGAGAATGGGGTCTGCTGGCCCCCCAGGGCAGAGGGGGCTGGGCTGAGGGGCCCCTGTAGCTGGGGCAATGCTGGGCCCCAGTTGTGAGTAGCCAGCAAGGGTGTGTGGAGAAAGCATGGGGAGATGACAGTGCTGAGGAATGCATGGGAGCATGGTAGAGACAGGAGACACAGTCCCCCTAGAGACAGAGCTTAAGGTAAAAGCTTTGGCTGCTTTGCATGGAGTGGAGGAAACCAGGGGGAACTGGGAGGGATTGGGGGAGAGAGAGTTTGGCGGGGGAGGATGGAGCAGAAGTGGGTAGAACTGGGGGGGGGGTGTCATCAGAGTTGCTGAGGGTGGGAGAAGTGGGTTGGAGCACTCTTGGGGGATTTAGATCAGAAATGGGAGTATGGGGAGAGTGGGAATGAGTTGGAGCAGAGCTGGAGGGAACTGAGAGGAGGTCTGGGGAAGAGCTTGTGGGGGCCTAAAACAGGGCTAAAGGGGTGGATCAGGAAAGGGCGGGCAGGAGGGGTGACTAGATTGGGGCTGGGGGAGTTGACAACGGGACTTAAGGAGGCTGGAGGTGGGTAAGGAAGACCTGAAGGGGGCTGGATCAGAACTGGAGGAGAATGAGGGGGCTGTGGGGATCTGGGGAAGCCCTGTCCTGGGTGGGGAGCTCAGAACAGGCATACTGAGAGCCACATGTCAAGAACACACTGCTGGATGAAGAGTTGGGAATGGGCATGCTTGATGTATATCCCAGGCTCTCAAGCTTGCAGGAATGGGGATGGGACACCCATTGAGATGAAGGCAGAAGTTCACACATCTCAGAGCTATTGTTTCAAGATGTATTTATCTCCATGGAATGTTCTGATTCAGCAGAGACTATCACAGTCAGATGAATGGGTCACTTCACATCTCTGAGCTTCCTATGTTTTCAGGATCATCCTGTGCTGGGGATCTGATTAAAGCAGTGGATAATTAATTATTAATTTCAGACACAGTTATAGCAGAGCACCAGCTCTGCTACAGTTAAGATTGAGAAAACTTTTATGTTATGTTTCTTCTACATACTCTAAAATCTGCATGCATGCTTGGATTGTCTTGAAATGTGCTGTGACTCGGGGCAGAGGGGGGGCTAAAGTAGGGTTAGTGGTCTACATTTGGGGTCATTTGAGGAAGAGATTACTGAGGCCTTGGCTACACTCGGGACTTCACAGGGCTGCCGCGGCAGCGCTGTGAAGCGCGAGTGTAGTCACGCCGCCAGCGCTGCGAGAGAGCTCTCGCAGCGCTGTATGTACTCCACCTCTCCGAGGGGAATAACTTGCAGCACTACGAGCGAGCGTGCAGCGCTGCAGGCTCTGATTACACTGGCGCTTTACAGCGCTGTACTCGCTGCGCTCGGGGGGGCGTTTTCACACCCCTGAGTGCAGCAAGTTGCAGCGCTGTACAGCGCCAGTGTAGCCAAGGCCTGAGATATAGTCCCTATCCCACCCCTCAAAGAAAAACAGATGGTGACAGGTTCTACCAACATTATTTGTGCATACCTGGCTTCTAAAGTTTTCATGGGTCAGAAAGGGGAGGGTGAGATTAAAATAGTGGCAGGAAGAGAGGGGCTATATGTGGCGGTGGATGGTGGGAAGAGAGACACCAGTCTTCTCTCACATGCTTAAAGTTACTGTAATCAATATGTAATAAAACTGTCAAGTTCTTGGGGTTTAGACCACATCTAAGATTTCTTTCACTAGTCCTGTTAGCAACTACATGCTCCAAACATTTCAAAACATGATCATTATGCCCATTCCAGGATAATATTTTTTATTATGTGTATAACTGTAGCACTGAAGAGAACTAGTCATGGCCCACGACCCCACTGTACAAACAAAGAGCAACCTAAATATAACACATGAGACAAGACATAAGTATATATCCCTTTATTAAGTGTTATCCTCTATAAAGTAACAATGAATAGCCTTGTTAACCTCTTTTTAAATCTTATTTTGCTCATAGTTTCAATAACATGTTCCGGAAGTTACTTCTGTGGGTTAATTATGCCTTGTGTAAAAATGTATTTCCTCTTGCCAGTTTTTTTTTAAAATTTACCCCCACTCATTCTCATATGTTGTTCCTATGCACTATGGAGACAGATGCCTCAGACAAGCAGGGCTAGATCCATAGATCAGCTGCTACCTGCTAGCAGATTATGATATATACTGTGATGTGAGAGACGATGCTAACAATATTCAGTGTCACAGTCACGGCCCCTATTCTCCAGTGTGTTGGACTGTGTACACCTCCCGAGTTCTGACACCTCGGCCAGGGAGCTCGCTGCAGGCCCCCACTCCCGGCCAATGACAGGCCGAATCGCTGCGCGTGTCCGGAGGTCGTGGTGGTGGCCCCTAGGCTACAGCGCCGGGCAGAGGCACTAAGAAAGCAGAAGAACCTTCCCTTCCGCCTCGGTAGGTCTGAGCGCGGGAGCATATAACGTGACCTCTCCGCCACTTCCGCCTCAGTAGATGTCATGGCGGCGGAGCCAGCCTCACACGTGACCGCGGGCGGGCGGAGCTCTGTCCCACACGCTCTCGCGCGCAGCCTCGCTTTCCCCCCGCCCGCGTCCCCCTCTCGCCCTGGCCGCTCGCGCAGCTGCTCGGCTCTTGCTATATAAAGGGGCGAAGCGGGCAGAGCGGGCGGCTGGTGGCGGCGGCTGCAGCCCGAGGGCCGGCGAACGAGGCCGGGCCAGGCCGCGGGGCTCCCCGTGTGCCGGGGCGGGACGCGTGGGGCTCGGGGGGGACGCGCCGGGCAGGTTTATTGTTTTAGGGGCGACTCCGCCGCGGTGGGGGTGTCCCGGGGGGCTCGGGACATGGCGAGCTCGACTAACACAAACCCCGTGGTAAGGACCGGGCCGGGGGGAAAGGGGGGCCCTGGGCGGCGACACAGGCGGGGCTCAGAGCCCCCCGCCATCCCTGGCTGGCTCCGCCGCGGGAACGGCCTGGCCGGGGCAGCGGGGCATCGCCCCTAGCCAGGAGCCAACTTCTGCTGAGGCTCTCGTGGAGGCGAGCGCAGCCCCGAGGCGCCGGGACCCGCCAGAGCCGGCGAGGTGGGACGGGGGCTGGGGGAGGCGGCGGCGGCGTAGAGCCGACCGGCGGGCAGGCAGCGTCTCTCCCGGCGAGGAGCCCCGAGGCGGGCCGTGCCTGGGGCGGGGGGAGCCGGGTAGCTCCGCCATCAGGCTGGGGAGGGGGCGAGAGGCTCCTCGGGGGATGCGAGGGGAGATGCTCCTGTAGAAGCCAAGCGCTGCCTCCTGCGCCGGGGAGCGGGCCAGGCGGCGGGTTGGTGGCATGTGTGGAACCCAGCCTGGCACTGCTGGAGCCATTTTATGTAGCTTTATAAGAAGGAGGCGATGGTTGAAAAGCACTTGTCCCAGCCTTGCAGACTCGGCTGACGGAGGAGAAACCCCCCTCCAGCCTCGCCCAGAGGCAAAGAAGTAATTAAAAAAAAAAAAAAAAACAACTTACCCCTTCCCCCCCTTGTGCCTTCTGCACTCTCAGGTGGCTTGTTTTACTTGTATTCACATAGGTGTGCAATAAGCAGTCACATAAATCTGTGTAGCCACCAAGCCCCACCGATCACTTCTTTCCCTTCCCCTCTGACAAGAATAAACCATCCACAAGCCTACCCCCAAAAAGCTGCCGACAAACCCCGAGTCCGGGCGGTTACGGTGCAGGCTTGGCCCCCTTGTTTGTGTCTCTGTGAGATCCATCATGGCTTCCCCTGCCTTTCTGTCTCCCTGCTCCTTGTGTTCCTCCTCCCTGTGGCTGCCCTGTTTATATAGAGCCATTGCCGCTCTCTAATATAGACTCTGCCAGGATGGGAAGGTGCTTTCCAGCCCCACGTCACCGCCTCTCCATTTAAACACCACATCAGCCTTTAAATAGGGAGAGAGCTGCTGGGAGGTGCATGCACCAGAGGCAGAGACTGAAAGAGAGACAGACACGATCTCTTTGTCACTCAGTCCCTGCTTTTTCTGCGTAGCTGTTAGCTAGAGTACCCTCTGCAGTTGTCTGCTGCTCTTAAACCCAATTGCTGGAGCTGCGGGATTGTAAAGTAGCAGTTGCTTGTCTCTGTTAGTTTATTTAGGGGGTGTTCCCCTCATTGATTTAATAATCTGTTGAATTAAATAGCTTTCTTTCCTTTTTGTGTGTGTTGTTTAGGGAAAGACAACCAATCCCCTACCCCGTTTTGAAAGTATTCTGGAGTCCTTAGCTATTGAAAGCAGTGCAACAAATAACTAGTATATAAATATGTCTGCCCTATTAAGTGCCTTTTCTGCTGGGGTAAAGTGGTAGCTGAACTAAAATAGTTCTTATCCAGTATTTTGTAGAGAGAAGGTGGGATACCTATTTTATGATACTTTGCAAAAGTTTATTTATAGCTGTGAAGCTATACATATTTAAAATGTTTAAATTTTTGTAATAGATTGCAGGCTGGACTTCTGTAGTACTAAAATATCTGTTCTAGGTGATAAAGCTGATGGTTATACAGACATGTTATTACCCTCCAGGAAGAGCTAGAATTTTTAAAAAGTTTTTCATAATTTCTGTGGACGTAATATCAACACCAGTATTATAGGCAAATTTAAAAATATTTATATATTTAATATTTATAAATATTAAGTGCCAGGTAGCCCTTTATATCCTAACAGAGCCAGGCTTATATAAGTGTAACGTGATTTCTGTGACCTTTGTATTTTTTTATTTCGGTTTCAATCACTTAAGTTAGTCAGTAATTCTGTACATTGCAGTTTATTATATGTTCCATAAGCTGCATGCAGTGTCTGCATATGAGGATCTGAATATAAACGTCAGCAGACCCTTCAGAAAGCACTAGCTGTACTCTGATAGTTTCAGGTTTTTTTATTTTGTTACAAAAAGGCCTCCTTTGGTTATATAGTATGTCTTGTTTCATCTCACTATATAATAAACTGAAAGCAGTATAGAAAAGAAGGCATTTATTCTGAAACTGCTTGCAAATATTGGTGTTTCAAAGCCTCACTAAAACTTGAATTCTCTGTTGTACAAAGATAGTTAGCTGCACCTGTCTACTAAAACAGCACAGCGATTGAAAGCTGTTAGAAAACAATTATGTCTGGAAAGTTCAGTTTGTAGCAATAAAAGATTAATCAAAATAAAACCTTAAAATGTAGCTGATTGAGGTACAGGCTAAAAAGGAGTAAAGGGCAAGTTCTCTGTAGGATTTTATTTTTCATTTAAGACTTGACCACTAAAGATAGTTTAGACACTGGTGCAGTTAACTTTGTGGAGTTCAGGTCTGAGACTGGTAATAGAGCCAGATATTTTAACCTTAGCTAGCACAGTAACGTGAACAGAAATATTCTCAAAGAACATGACCAGTTTATAGCTTTAATATGTCAGTTTTGGGGCCTAAACTACTACTGTACAACTTTTTTTTAATGTTTCACTGTAATTAAATCACCATTAACAGTTTTCTTTCTGCTAAAGAGAAAATAAAAGCAAGGATTCTATAGTAGATTGTTATAGCTAATTTGTAATAAAAGGACTCCAACAACTTAAAACTTGGTCATTTAAAAAAAAAAAAAAAAAGACTTAAATGTAGTTTCAGGTACTGCTTCTCTCCATGCACCACCTGCCAGTTCCTGTGGTTTTACAGTTACATTTTACTATTTATTTTAAAAGATGTTATTTCTCTGTCCTGTTCTTAAGTAAAAGAGCTACACAGATTGGGGATATGAATTCATCAACTTCCTTTCGTATAGGGGAAATTGTGAAAGCAGCTATACGCAACATGCAGTCAAATGCACAAAGTATACAAACAAACTTCTAATCTTCTAGTTATAGGAATCTTAGTTGTTGCAAAAAGAAGTGTTAAAGAAATTTTAGGTGTAGTAAAAAGCATCCCTTTTAAAGTAAAAAAGTAATTTAAGAAATTTAAGCTCAAATGGCTTGTAGCATTTAAAACAATTTGGTGGTGTTTGTTCTTTGGATTCTAAAATGTAGCGTGTGCATCTATAGCTTTCTTTTCAAATCAGTTTCTGTCACAAAGTGCGAGGGGACAAAGGGGTTAAAATTTCTCTTACAACCAATTTGTTCCATTCCCAGCAGAGGGAGCACTAGTTCGTAAACCGTCATATAAAGTTGTTGGTTATATCATCAGTTCTTATATCCAAACAAGTAAATGAGAAAATCTGCGTGGTGTTAGTTTTTCTTAATCTGTCTGTAGCAATTAGGACAGAGCTTGTTAAACACTTGTTTATCATTCTTGTGTTTTGGGTCTGCATTCACCTATAAATGGCTGAGATTCATTATAGTACTGAAGTTAGAAGGGAGGTACTTCCATTAATACAAAGTGGGTGAAAGCATTCTAATTTTAATTGCCAACTTATAAGTTTCTGTTGCAAGCCATGTTCCTTTATTGTCTGTATTTCTCAAACTTTGTCAAGCAGTGGGACTTATATGTCTAAATCAGGGGTAGGCAACCTTATTTATTTTACATACAACAATAGTTTAGTTATATATTATAGACTTACAGAAAGAGACCTTCTAAAAACGTTAAAATGTATTACTGGCACACAAAACCTTAAATTAGAGTGAATAAATGAAGACTCGGCACACCGCTTCTGAAAGGTTGCCAATCCCTGGTCTAAATCATTAGTTACCCCAATAAAAATAATGAATAATGCTGTGGCAGCTGGCTGTTCCAGCAAATTACTATGGTAAAGTAGTCAGATCATTGATTTTGAGGTAAAGATACATTTTTGTGAGTTTTATAATCATCTCTTCCTTTTTATACATACTAGTCAATTTATGTAACTTAGGTCCTCTCTTGAGAATGCATGCATCTTTATAGTTGGCATTCTGCCTAACATCTATAGTCAAAGAAAAGGATGTGCATGAGAGAAGTTCTTTACAAACTCCTATCACATTTGGGACCTGAACTGGAAAGAGCAACTGAAAGGAAACAGGTTTCTGTTCAAATGTTATGTTTCCATTATCTTTTTGACTGAGCATGAAAATTCAAAAAAGATTAGAAAGGGTTCCAGATGAGTAAAATTCTGTCCAGGTCTGTTCAGTAATATGACATTCAGGATTAACTTCTGAGTGAGCAAGCAGTATTTGGAAGGAATTTTCAGATGTAATTTAAATCGTGTACGTACACAAATCAAAATTAAGAACTCTATAGATGTATTTGCTAAAAGTAACTTGTTAATTTTCATACACAATGCTGATTTGAAATTAAATTCATATTCGATGCTTCTCTGTATAGGTCAGAAGTTGAGGCTGTGCTGGATATCCTGCTCTTTAGGTTTAAAGTATTGAAGGGAACACTTTGGTGTTCCTGAATGCCCCAGTATGGACAGCTCTTAAAACAATCACTGCTGCTGTAGAGGGAATTAATTCTTCTGAGCTGGACAGTTAACAGGGTATATGCAGTGGCACTGGAACAATTTTTATAGTGGGGGTGCTGAAGGCAGAAACCACGTATTTGGGTTGTTTTTACTACTTCAGGGTGGGGGTGCGGCAGCACCACCAGCACACCTAGTTCCATTATTTATGGGTGTATGGAGGGGGAACACACCTGATGAGTCCAGAATATTTTTCTGAATCATTAATACAATGTTGAAAAATTAATGTGTCAAGGGCATGACAAAATATACAGGGGGAAACCTAAGAGAACTCTTCAAAAACTATTCTTTATGGTAAAGGAAGAAAATATATATTAAAACATTCCCAAGTAGGGATTGGGCTATGAAGTTGCTGGCTTTATCTGAGCATTGATGTTTTAGCACATAACATTACAAAGGTTATATTTATAAATTTCTTTAGACTTGTTAGAGGACTAAGCTCAGGGAGAGGGAGAAAATGCTGGTTAAAATATTAGGCCTTTCTTGTTGTCATCACCAGAGCTCATTTAAAGTATTCTGTTGATAGGACCAGCTATTCATTTTGTCCACTCTGAACAAGATATTTAGGCCCCAGTTCTGCAACCAGTTACATGTTTTAACTTCAAGTGTGTCAGTAGTCCTATTGACTTTAGTGGGATTATTCCTGTGCTTAAAGTTATACATGTGTATAACTGTTTGCAGGAGTGTGCCAGTGTCATTTTTCAAAAAGTGACACCTCTAATACACTTAGTAATGATGTGCAGAATAGATCAAGTAGCACATCTCAGATTGTCGTAAGGTGAGTCCAGTTAGTTTACGGCAGAAAATGTATCTCTAATTTTTTATTATTATTAAATGGAATGTCTTGCTTTCCATCTGTTATGAACTGAGTCTCAAAGTAAACACAAGATCCCATTAACACTGCTTGACATTTTTTTCTTGTTAAATTGTACACTGCTTAGAACTAAAGTACTAATGCTGTACAGTTATCTACAGTTTTCAAGCTTGTTTCAAACATTCATGTGCATACGTACATTTAACTAATAGTTTGCTGAAGGCTAACACATAAGTACACAAGGCTTTTAAACCTAAAAAAAAAAAAAAAAAAGTAGAGAAGATGACTTTAGAAGGTGCTTTGGTGCATATTGCCTGTATCAGAGATAGAATATTGAGCTTTAAACTTATTTGCTATAAATTGGGTCTCCCAGGGCAATACAAGACAAGCTTATCCCAGTATTTCAGATCAAACCCTTTATGCAGAGATAGGAGTAACAGAATGGTGGATTGTCATTTTTCAGCTACTTGGTTTATAGCAATATATTTTAATATTGAAAAGTGATAAATTGATGGCAAAAATATCTTTGAAATTTAAGATAGAGTTAGGTGTTGATAGAATGACACTGGTGCAGCACCTTAAGAGATTAGGTGAAGAATCTTCCTCTGCAACTTTTCCCATATCCACTTAATTTTGAGTTGCACCATTCCTGTCTCCATTACTAGACATCCGCAAAGCAAAAATCTGTATATGTGGAAGTTTTGTGATATGGACAGAGAGGGATTTACTAGATCACTTATGTCGCTTGAGACTGAATATAATTTGAAACTAGATCTTCATAGGTGAATGATGCATTTGTTGTAAAGAAACATGCTGTAAAACTTCACTACAGCTTTTGCTAGTTTTTCCCCTGCATATCTTAAGTGACCAAACATAGTATATATCTTAAAATTTTTCTTTGTATTTGATCTTTGTTATGAACTAAAAGTATTGGAGTCTGTTTTTCAAAACACTTTTCCCCTTTGTTTTTAAAGAACAGTAAATGCAGTAGAAGTTCTTTTATACATACTGTATCATCTGCTAGCCTTCAGCTTGCATATGGAGTTTTTTTCTTGTGTGTTTGAACATTGATCACTTAAAATAATTCCTAGCTGACCAATATTAATCAAAACTATGTAGTAGTGTTGGATACCTTGACGGGGATCCTCTCTAGTAGCTAATATAACCTGTTTACAGTACTGTGCTGAGCAGATGTTGCAAATAAACAAAAGTGTCTAAATCCTAAATATATCTTTAAAAAATTAGGAGAAGTTAGCACTCATAAAGGTGCTGGTTTGGAGCCTGATGTACTCATTCTGTAAATGAAAAGAGGCCAGGGCACTTAGTGGTAGTGTGGACTTCCTCCCATTGACCTGCCAATGTGCCTCAGCCTTGAATTGGCGGTAACACCTTCTGAGGGCAAGAGAGAGTAGTTCATCTCTTTGCTCTGTCCATCTTTGGCCTTTCTAGTGAGACTGGCTTCAAGGGTTGTTATGGTATCTGGCCTTTTGAAAGCATTCCTTCGGAGGAGTTTTTTTAAAAATCTGTTTAGTTACGTTAATACTAGAATATTAAGTCTCTTACGAAACAAGCAACCCTTACTAATAACTTTTTAAAGCCTAAACTGTACAGGTCCGTAATTGAAGATGTCATCAATGATGTCCGAGAAGTTTTTCTGGATGAAGGAGTAGATGAACAAGTCCTTTTGGAACTCAAAACAGTAAGTATTTACAGCTCCATAACGTACTAACCAGCCTATGACACAGTGCTTACTGCTCCATGTAGTAAAAAATAGTGAATTTTCATTATCTAAGCAATGCACTCATCCCCTTGATATATGAGTTGAGATGCTGCTATGTATGGTATAATCTTCCTAAGTACATCTTAAATGTACAGTGAATTTGCTCTTTTCTCCACCTTCCCCCATTATGCACTTTGCTGTATTTGTTGCACCTCAACTTATATCAAGTTTACAACAGGGATCATGTTTCAATGTGGGCTTTGTGTGGATTTTAAGGATCTAAGTCCTTTAAAAAGTTAAGGTCATGTGTTTATTGTCCTCTAGCCAAGAGGCAAAGTTTCCCATGATGGTTCCGTTAGGGGTCAGGTGAATTGATTTAAATCTGAATTATTGAAATTGCAGATTTTAATTATGATTTAAATCAGCAAATGGGAATGAGTTAATAAATTTAAATCTTGATTTACTCTTTTTGGTTCTTTTCCTAAAGAAAATTTGATTCTTAATGGTTGGTAACCAATAAAGCATGTTGATTTGCAACTAAATATACTCTGTAAGCTAAATTTGGTGCTTCTTTTTGCTGACCAGGAAGAATACACTGTATCTATGCACATTTATTTACAGTTATATATAGCTCATCTTACATTTATTCAGATTTAGTTTTTTCATATTTTTTATGTTAGAAAATGTGAATGATGCATTTGTAAAATACTAGATTATTAATTTTTATTTGTGATTTATGTCAAGCTATATTTGGATGAAAATTCAAATTAATACCATGTCTTTCAAGAGTTTAGAGCTAGTTGATCTCATCCACTCATATTGAGTTTTTATTCATAGATTGGCAGAGGAACACAGGCTTTCCTGCTTTTTTAATTCCCATTTTGTTTCTTAACTTTGAATGAACTAGTCACTGAATTGAACTAGTTGAATAAACTGAAATGAAGAAGATATTCTCTCTGCACCTTCAGAAAAGGCTATCACTGTGAAAAGTTGGGTTAACACATAACATACTCTGGTTCCAGCTGCTTAGCCAGTGACTTCCCCAAGTTCTGGGGTTTGACTTTTCTAAAAAGCTTGGCAACAAACATGTAATACTTGAATTTTTTAATTAATTTTAATAAATTATAGTAAGTTTAAGCCTAATAAGTGGTCATAACTTCAAATTTAATATTAAATAGGTTTATTTAAAAATAAATCTGTATTTAATTTAAATACAAAAATCCAAATATTTATTATCTTTTTTAATTCATCCTGAATAGCGGATGCTTTTCTTTTCTCTCTTCTCTTTGTAAGCTGAAGAGTTTCATTGTAGAGTGCTCCTCTTTTCCAAATCTAATGACTTTTGCTTTGCAAAAATATCCCATTTTCTGACATGGCATGGGATAAATTGCATTGTACACATCTGAGGAGGAGAGGCTGAGGGACCATCACTTCACCAGAATGCAAACTGTGTCCCGTGAACCAAAATTGTGACATGGGGTTGCTACCAGAATAAAGGATATCTTGTCTGATGCTTTTCTTGATGCTTCTCAAGTACTTTCCTGAACAAGACAAGCCCTGAAACATCAAAACAGAGAAAAGGACAGCAAAATTGGAGGAAACAGTGAAAAGCAGGGGATGGTAGAACAAGAGGTCTGAGACACAAAGCTTAGATACTATGGTGATAGAAACAATTAAATTGCTATATAAAACCAGGGTTCCCCTGCACTAATGGGAGCTTCTGGAGAAGATAATGGATCTTCCTTGACTCTTTTTATCTTCAGAAATTCTAGAATGAAAAATGTTGATACCTGTGGTGAAGACTGCATGCTTCTGGTGAGAGGAAACTAAAATGGAGGTCGAGGGGGTGGGAACTGAAGGATAGGAGCTACCACTTTATCTCTGCTTCCCTGCTTCCTATATGTGGAGTTATAAGCAGGGTGATAAAAATCAATAATTTTTTTAAAAAAATAAAAATACCTGATTTTTTTTATGTAAATTGGATTTTTTTTTGATAAAATGCTTTTTGAGGGAAAAACCTATCTAAAGATAGCTTTAATTAAGATACATTATAGCTCAAAGATATCTCATCATGGAATAGGGATTATAAATTCTAATTCTATAGTATGAGACAATATATTCATGTAATGTGTAAGAAAAGTTTTGTAAATGAGTTCCAGTAGTTCATGGTTTAGAGACCCAATTTTATGGAGTTCCAGGGGCTTCTGTATAGATTATTTAGGTTAATCTTTCTATCTACCCAATGGGACTCAGTGCTCAGTCTAGAAGATACCATCAGAGATGCTTAGTTTTGCACTTCTCAAACTGTGGATTTGTCTCCCCAGAGGTAACATGCTTGTTAATAGTAAAAGTGTTTTAAATAAATAAATAATATATAGAGGTGAGAAATAACAGATCTCAGCCCTGTTGTCCCTCTGCAAATTTGTTTACACAAAGTCAATCCCTTACCTCTCTCTAAAAGTGAAAAGTTTCAAAAAGTTCAATGAATAGATTGTTGGGGTGGAATAGATCTGGACAAGGAGAAGAAGTCTGGAGATAATTTTGAGAAGGGAGGGACAGGCATTAGAAACAAAAGTGAAACTGTTTGAGCAGCATATTCCAGAAGTCTTGAGGTCTTTCTGAGGGTAACTTTCATTGATTTGAGATCTACCATACCATTCTCTCACTAGAAGGGAAAACCTATAATGGCAGCAGGCTGTAAAAGAGACCCAGTTTGGGAATAGAAACCATTCAAGAAATGTATGTTTGCTGCTGATGTTTTAAAGAAAATTACACCAGTGAAATGGTGGAAGTCACTTAAGCACTTGGATTCAGAGACTCTTGAAGCGATAATCTCACTTTTAACAGCAGTAGCTTCTTCTGCCAGTGTAGAAAGAATACACCTCTACCCTGATATAACACAACCTGATATAACACATTCGGATATAATGCGGTAAAGCAGCGCTCTGGGGGGGGCGGGGCTGCGCACTCCGGTGGATCAAAGTAAGTTAGATATAACGCGGTTTCACCTATAACGCAGTAAGATTTTTTTTTTGGCTCCTGAGGACAGCGTTATATCGGGGTAGAGGTCTATTTTCTTCCTTTGGACTAATTAATTCCAAATTGAGAAATCGCTTGGGACCTGAAAAAGCAGGAAAGCTTGTTTTGCTTTTCCAGATTATGAACAAACAGGAAAATGAAGGTGAAGATGACTGGGTTAGCTGCTGAAGCCAATATTTTAAGTTTCTCGTGTTGACCTGGCTGACAGTCGATTTATTTTTTGTTTTTGTTTTTAAAAAAATTCATTTAACTATTTTAGTTAAAAACAATTTTAACAAAAACAAACCTGATTTTAAAAAAACTTGAATGTTTAACTAAATTCAAAAATTCATATGCTTGTTTTGTTAAAATATTATATGTCTGCTGTTGAAGAAAAAAATTCAGAATACATAACGCTGTTTTTGTTAAATAAAACAATTTTAAATGTCTGTCTGGTGATGTTCTCCTCCTAATACAGCATGGCAAGAAAATCCTCCAAATATTAATGATTAATCTGTTGAATTGGAGATAGTTCACCTCCCAATGACTTCATAAATATCTGCTTCAGTTACCTTTAGTAAATGAAATAACCAAACAATCATTCATTTTCTGATATAGCTGTAAAATTAATCTGAAAAGTTTTCAAACTTAATGACTTTAAAAATGTATAGTGTGTACCTTCTAAAAATGAAACCTACATCTACCTCTGAGTTGTGAAGAATATGTATTAAGGTTATAACAACCAACAAGAATGTACTTTTATGTAGGAATCCATGATTAAATCAAGTCTTCCTGACTTGATTTGATTTAAATCAAATCCACCGTGGTTATAAGGATGATCTTTGGGATCTAAGGATGACCTGTGGGAGAAGAAAGGAATGTCCATGAAAGTTAAATTTAGAATTATAATTCCCTTGGACTATTATTTTTTCTGTTGCTGTGTGTTGCCTCAGGAGAGGGGCATATACCCAACCTACATATGCCCAAAGATTTTGTGACAAAGTAGAACGTACAGGATAAATAAGGACCAATTTGAATTGCATTATTTGTAATAATTCCAATCCTACAATTTTAAAATGACACCTATTGATAACACGTTTTCTTTCTCTCAAATACAGCTGTGGGAGAACAAGCTGATGCAGTCCAAGGCTGTAGATGGGTTTCATTCAGAAGAACAGCAACTTTTGTTGCAGGTTCAGCAGCAGCAACAGCAGCAGCAGCATCATCACCACCATCATCATCATCATCCACAACCACAGCAGACTGTGCAGCAGCAATCCCAGACACAACAAGTCCTTATTCCTGCATCCCAGCAAGGTCAGACTGATTCTCTAATGTGCCTACATGAAACTCTCTATGGTTTCAGCAGACCTCATGTTCCTTGAAATTGCAGAGTTATACCCTTTTATTTAAATACCTGAAACAAGGTTTGGTTTAAGCAGCAGTGTCAAAGAACAGGGAAGCTAAAGGAAGTTGCTGAGGTCAAATCACTATGGATCCAGTTAGGATTGCCATGTCACCTTCCCGGGATTCTAATGTAGGTCATCACTACAGTAGAAACATGCATATCTGTGGACTGCAGACATTTCAATGTAAAGAACAGCTGGTACAACCACATGCTTTGAATCGCTAGTCCCTTACCTCCTTCCTGTAACTTTTGTCCAGATCATATAGAATTGATGTTTTGTTTCTTTTGTTTGTAGCACCTCAGCAGCAGGTTATTGTGCCAGATTCAAAGCTGATACAGCACATGAATGCATCAGGCATGGTAAGACTCAGAATTAGAACTTTATACAGTGCTGTAATGTATTTAAATAGTGAAGGTAAAAGTCTGATATGAGTCATCTCAAATGCCAAAAAAACAAACCAAGAGATACTGGCAGAAGATGGCTCCTGTCTCACTGATTGGTAGGCTGATAACACATGAGCTATTTATCCAGGGCTTGCAATTGACACTACCCCAGAAAACCATAGTAGTGTGAATTCATTGTTTCATTTATTATAGTGCTATACATATTTAAACAGTATGACGGGAAATATTTAGAGTGAATTTGGTTGTGTGTAATATATATATATTCTCACTGCAAAATGACTGACCAAGTATTTTTATTTTATCAACTGCAGTTGGTTAATAACATAGTCAAAGCATCCTGATTGGTTAATAATTAAATTACACAGTGTTTTAATATCATGTGCTGCAAAGAGCCACAGGAGACACATTAAAGAGACACTTGTGATTTGCGAGTCTCAGTCTGAATATCTCTGGGTTAGACTAAGATTTTTTGAGGATCAGCTAATACTGATACAAATCTGTATGACAACAATCCCAGGAGGGAATGACTTCACATGTGGAAAATACTGTTACCCTGGTGCAAGTCTTATGTTGTATTTACCAGATGAAGAATGACATTCCTCAAATATTATAAATAATAAACTCATAAAAATAATGATACTGACTGTACAGGAGTTTGAATCTGCCTTTCTGGTCATTATTTATTTCAACTCATTTGTTATTGCAAAAGTAAATTCACAACTTTTCATCCTAACCATTTATCTATTCCTTACAATTTTGTCTTTGTAGTCTAACTTTGTCTCTCTTGCTTGACATCAAGTTTAGGCTAGAGGAAAAACCTATTCTCTTGCAGCCCAAGACAACCAAAACACAATCTGTGCAAGTTAAATTCAGTTATTTATTTAGATTTAGAACTCCATATTAAAGAATATCCATCCAGAGTTTGATGTAAATTTAAAAGCACAATAAATAAAGTTGCACAATTAAGGCAGCAGCAATTCATTTGCTCATTGTCTGTCAGATAGTTTGCTGATCTTCTCTTCAAAATCCTAGATGCACTGACTAAACAGCATGATACAACCAAAGGCTGAATGAAAACTAAAACTGACTTCTGCCTCATTTTCCTTGTAAATTCCACCGAATAGCAGCAGAAACCGGATTTTGCCTGTTTACCCTGCTGAGTTTCTTCTCTAGTTCTCATTCAGTTGAGCCCAATACTGTACTGTAAAAAGAAAGTTTATGTAGCTATTTAAACATGTGCTCTTCTTAGTGTGCCGCCTGAAGCTTTTTAACAAAAAAAACTACTTTAAGGAATCTGTCCAATTAGGGCTCTCTAAAAGAAATGTTTGACTAAAGAAAACTCTTAAATCTGTACTGAGAATGGATCAAGCAGACACAGCTTGTTTATTTTAAAGGCAAGAAAAAATCAGAACATGATTTAGTAGTGTCCTTTCCCCTATATGTAAGAAGATATGGGGTAAAGGGACAGCAGAAAAGCACTAGCCTGCTTCTACTCAGTGTCACCCTCCGGGAGGTTCTGATTAACGATTACATCAGTCTGCCAGTAAAGGGAGATCTGATTCCTTACCAACCAGAAACAGAGACACAAGGTTGGTGAGGTAATATGTTTTATTGGACCAACTTCTTGTGTCTCTACTATCCTGGGACCGACACGGCTATAACTCCACTGCATAAAACAAGAAATGTGCATTTTACCCAATAGTAAAATTTAAATCCATTTTGCATTTTAATTTTTCATCAACATGAAAAATGCAATAGTATCCTCCAGCATTTCAGGTATTACTATTAACATTCTGCTTAAACTTAAACCTACAGTAGGGCTTGGTAGAATTGTCAGACTGCCCAAAGTTTGATTTGGAGTGACATTTGACTGCTAGTTGGAACTGTTTTTGACAGTCAGCATGGGTGAAATTAGTTCTGATGTCATTTTTTAATGTTTATTTTTTGTACTAAGATGAGAGACTGGGATCATATGGACCAAAATCATTCATTTGAGGTCGATTTACAGTTCAAACCAAGGTGGACCCATGTGTTAATTTGCAGACATTAAGCATGACTTTCACAAACATCTTCGCGTTTGGCCCAGAATACACTTTGGTCACTTAGTTTAAACTTTGAAATAATCCCCAAATGTTCTTAATATCTATTTGATCCTTTTTGTTTAAATGGTCAAGAGGTGTCTGTCATGAATTTGTTATGACAACTGTGTGTGTTCTGTTTAGTTTTTATATTACTGTGTGGCTTCACAGTAAAATCAAATCTAGTATAACAAACACCTGTATTGCTTGTTTAAGTTGTTAAAAATAGTGAACACAAGGTATTGATGCAGGCTCTCAGGCCTTAATTCTTTATGCAGACAATCATCTGAGTTCAGCTTCCTCAGGGCTGATGCCTTTAGCCATTGACCTGCTTCTTTGCTGTATCCCAAGGCTAGTTAACTCTGCGCCAATGTCGTCATTCAGCCTCCTAAAATAAAGCCTCTCTCTAGCCACCATGGCCTGTTGTGTTGAGGAATAATTCTGGTTTTAGAGAGTCTTAAAGAATAACAACAAATTTGTCCATAGTTTTCTACAAATCAGGTTGTCTTTTAGATGCAATAAAAATAACTTCAAATCCAGAGTCACTTGCAGAACTTACCTTTCAGTGCTAGGTTGCATTTCATTGCAATCCATTCCAAGAATTTTCTTGGCATCAAGAAAAGATTGTACTGCTTAAACTTTATCCCAATACTTCTCTGTTGCTTTTATTTTTGTGGAATGTTTCTTACCTGAGCAAATATCCAAACTCTTTTGGTTTATTTAAAAAAAAAAAAAAAAAAAAAATCAGAGTTCTCAAAGTTCAGTGATTCTGTACATTTTACTTCACAATATTTTAGCCACGGGTGCCGAAGCCCTCCCAAAAGTGGGGGGTCAGGAACCTGATTCCCACCCTCCCCGGCCAAGCCAGAGCAGGGCCAGTGAGCCCTCCCCGTCATCCAGGGTGTGGGGGGGTAGGCAGCCCCCTGCCTGTGTCTCCACCCCCCAGCTTCCCCACCCAGGGCAGGTGGAGGGACCCAGGCTCCCCACAGCTGCCCACGCAGCTCTCCCCTACCCAGCTTTGGCTGGTGGGGGGAGGCCCTCGGAGCCGTAACCCGGCCACGATAAGAGCTGGGCAGGCAGCTGTGGGGAGCCGTGGCAGACTCTCCACCTGCCCTGGGTCCACGCCGCGGCTCCTCACAGTCGCCCACACGGCTCTTACCAGTGCGAGTTGTGGATCCTCCACCTGTGCTTGGCTGGCCAGGGAGTGGGGATGCAGGCTGGGGGCTGCTCTCAGCCCCCCCCGCACTCCGAGCAGGTGGAGCGTCCACCACAGCTACCTGGGCTCCCGGGCAGGGCTCCACGCTGGCCTGGTGGGGGGGTAGGGCCTCGGGGGGAAGAAGAGGGGAAAGGGGCATGGTGCACCCCAGTGAAAAGTGGGAGGGCTCTTGTGCTCAGCCCCCTCCCCCCAAAAAAAAAGTTTGGTGCCACTGATTTTAGCTTAAACTTAGCATAGATGATCCAGGAAAAGATCACACATGACCTATTTATTGTATTCTACAACATGATCTTGTCTAGAAAACAGAAATAATTGAATTATATTCATTGAGTATGGTGTCAGTTATCAGATGATTATATGTTGTCTCAGATGTTCTTTAGGAAACTCGTAGGAACTTACTTTCTTTTACCCTGGATATTGGCATTATTCCTGGATTTGAACAATTAACTTTAAGCCTTGAGTTTTTTTCTGTTCTATTAATCAGATAACATATTCAGAGAGGCTGGTTAACTTTAACTTGGAGAGCTGGGTGTAGAGCTCCGCTACTCAACAGCTGGCCAGCAGAGGGAGCACAGATGAACAAAACTTATTCCCAGAGCTTTTCTGGCAAACTTGGAAATAAAGCAGAATTGAGTTGACTTGTGATGCACGTAGAATGAAGGGAGACCATCAAAGCAGGCAAATAGAAATCAGAAAGATTTCGCTTCTATGATAGCTAATATATGCATTTTATACTATTAGTCATCTTCCTTTTAACATCACAGAAACTTGCTTATGAGTAAATGTTGTTTATCCATAGAAGCTATGGTGATTGTGTACATTTGTCCTACTTCACCACAACAGATGCTTATTCTTTAATCCTCAGCTAGTGTGTTGTGATGCAAAGCATTGGCAGTAATGCTGGCTGTTAAAAACAGGTCTCTTATCTTTCAGAGTGCAGCTGCCACAGCAGCTACCTTGGCTTTGCCTGCTGGTGTTACTCCTGTTCAGCAGATACTTACAAATTCAGGTAATTACCATAACATTAAATGGATTATAGACAAGCTATTTGATTTGCAAATCGTAATTTATTACATTTCATGTGAAACATTTAAAAATCAGGAAGGAGTTTTGTAGTAAAGGGAGTCTACCATACAGTTCTTGAGGTATATGTATTACAGTGCTACTTTACCAGCATAAAACTTTAAAAGATTTTATTTAATACACTTCCAACAGTATTGTTTTTCAGCTGTTTACTATTTGAAAATATAAACATTATATTAAGAGACAGCTTTAAAGACTGCTATGTTTAATGGAAATAGTTTGTCTGAAATAGTAAAGTTGAGGTTTATAACAGTGTAGAAATCTGATTCAGAGCAGAGGTGAAACTTCCAGTTCTTAATACAAGGAAAAAATTCCTCTTTTAGTTTTACAGGAAGACAAGTGTATACCATAGGATCAATCACAAATTATTTATGTCATGGCCAGCAATCTTTCTCCACCTATGAAGTGCTACCCTATAGTTAAAGACTACGTTTTAGTCACAGGTATTTTAGTAAAAGTCATGGACAGGTCACGGGGACCTCCTTTGTCTTTCTGATAAGAAAGTGGAAGAGTTGAAGCTGGAGTATGTTTTGTCTGCAACTTTATACCCATTGCACAGAGCTGGTGACCATCTTTACAGGCATCTCAGCTGCAATGAGATGAGACATGGGACTATTGCATGTGCTCTGTGAATTAGGGTTAAGGTGGTAGGACTGTGCCATGGGTAATGAAAGAGACGGGGATAAAGAGAGACTGTATCATGGAAAGGAGGGATGGAGAAAGAATTACGTAACACTCAGACTGAAAAGAAAAAAAGACACACAATACATGGAAAGAAAAGTAGTTTAGATATTATGGAAATCAGGGACATGCAAGAACCTAAATAACAGAAAGTGGCATTAGAGAAGGGAAAGGAAGATGAAAGTGAACAGACATAATAAACTGTTACTTAAAGTAGTTGATGCTGACATTTTATAAAGAAAAATAAATGAAGTTAGAGGATGTATTATATACAGACTTGTACAAATGGAGCTCAAACTTCTGAGTTGTAAGTTCCAGAGGCAGGGAAGGTTCCCCCTCTGCTCTGAGTACTAATCTGTCCTTGCTAGGCTTTTATCTACGGAGCATAAGGATATTGCTGAAAAGCAGTTTAAATATTGTTTGCTTCAGAGTTCGTTCTCCACTTGCAAAGCCCATCAGTTTTGGCATCATGATAGTCTTGTTGCCTGTACTTAGATTGCAGTATTGATCCTATCTACCCCTCCCCTGTTCTGTGGATTTATTCGAAGGGCAGTCACAGCAGTTAGTTTGCATTTTCCTCAGTCACCTTTAAAAATGTGAGCAGGTAACTATAATAAAAGCCAAATATAGAGTATAAGTATATGCTGAGTTTGAATTGCTCCCCCTCGGAGCATTTGCCCCTCTGACTCCTGGCACATGAAACCCTAGATGCCCATTACAAAACAGTCAAGGACCAAGGGCTTGAGCTCTTCTTTACCCATTCCCTGTCCCCCTTAGTGCCCTCGGAACAAATTGCCACACTCCCTATCTACCTTAATCTAAAGCTGTCTCCTTACTCCAAATGTTAGGAGTAAATTTAAGAATGTAAGCTTAGAATATTCACATGTCACAACGCTGTCTAACAGCCCTGATGAGGTCTGCAAGGGTCAACTCGAAGTCAACCAGGAAGTAAAAATGACTGGGAAAACAACAAATTGTTTTTTTGTTCGAAAACAAATCTAGTAGTTTTATCATGTAAAAAGACCTATCTAAATTGTGAAGTGTTTTCTGTCTGAAACAGCTTTTAGTGCTCGCAGTCATGGTGCTTTTGTGGGGGAGATGCAGAGCAGAAGAATCTTTGAAATTGTTTTCTTTTGGAGTGAAGACCTAGTATAAAAAGCCACTCATACCTGCCTTCTTATACCTTTTGTTTGTCCCAGTCATGGTTCAGCAAATTTTATCTCCCTTGTATCTCTGTTTTCCTGTCAAGCATAGTAAAGGTGGTGAAACTGTAGAATAGCAAGAGAGACAACTATATTTTACAGTATTGTTTGCCATATACACAAAAAACAGTATTCTACACAGTGCGACTGATCATTTTTTAAGGTAAAAATATTATTCCCTTGCCACCCCCCCCCCCCCAAAAAAAGTGGAATGGATTTTATCAAAATTCTAAAATCCTATAAGAGTTGTTCTTCTATTGGCCTCATCTTGGCCTTGTCAGAGGACAGAAATTAAAGAATTAGCTATCCTTTAGTGCAGTCAATGAAGTTAGTAGACTCAGTGGAAAAAATGCTTGGGCTTTTCACATGTTTTGTTAAAAAGAAAAACATAGTTTCCCAACACTGAAATGTACTCAATGCTGGAATACAGCATCTGTTTAACAGCGGATAGAAGCCTACACAATAGGATAGAAAGTGTAATTTCTTTGTGTATATCTACATTATTGGCTTCTATCCTTTTAAACAGGGACCTTGCAGAAACATGAAATACACTCTTCATATGTAGGGAATAAATATTCAGAAGATTGCTGTGCTGCTTTAGTGAGTTAATCTTTGGCCTCATGTGAGACCTTGTATCACCTGTTAGCAACTTGCCTGTTGTCTCTTTCCTAAACTACTCTTGCCTTATGCCCTTTGTAAACATATGGTTGGGTTTTAAAGACAGTCCTGTCCAGAGCTTTGAAGACTTGTTGTTTTGAAGCTGTAGATGTGGTGTGTTTAAAGTATTAAAAATAATAAAAATTCTCAACCTGTTATTGGTGGAAGTGTAAGATGAACTTTCTATCTTAATTATGCTCAGTCTTTTTCCAGGTGACCAACTTTGAAAAAGATGATAATTTTAGATGTGGATTTTTACATTTTAAGTGGTTTTGTTTTCATTGCAGGCCAGATCCTGCAGGTAGTTAGAACTGCAAATGGAGCTCAGTATATCATTCAGCAACAGCAGCCCGTGGTTCTACAGCAACAGGTTATACCACAGATGCAGCCGGGTGGTGTACAAGCTCCTGTTATACAGCAGGTAAAGAGGGACATTTTGAATAAGTGGGCTCATACTTAAAACTAACCCAGTAGGAAGGTTTTCCAGTTGTTTGCATTTTTAAGTACAAGGGTGTGTGTTCTTTTGTTTGAATTGCATGCCAATAATGGCTCTGAAAAATTGACAAGAGAGCTTCATAAAGAAATGGGGATTTTAAAAATTTATTTGATGCCTTAAAAAAATCCATATCTTTGGCTTCTGTGCAGGATCTTCCTACCTGATCTGCATCCAGTGTTACCAATTTTGTTAAACTTATCACAGTATTAAAAGTGAAGTTATAAAAATCTTTGTTTACTGTTTTGTGTTTGATAACTGTTTGTGACTGTGTTCCTTGAAGCAGTATAAAGAAGTGACAGATTTCAAATGTTTTCAGTAAGTAATTATTCTGTTAGTATTGTGTATGCACGATTGCTAATATAAAATCCTTTTGTCAGGTTTTGGCTCCTCTCCCTGGAGGGATCTCCCAGCAGACAGGAGTGATTATTCAGCCGCAGCAAATCCTATTTACAGGGAACAAAACACAGGTCATACCCACAACAGTGGCAGCTCCTACACCGGCACAAGCACAGATTACTGCTGCCGGTCAGCAGCAACCACAGCAACAGGCGCAACCACAAGCACCACTTGTACTCCAAGTTGATGGAGCTGGAGACACATCTTCTGAAGAAGAAGAAGATGAGGAAGAAGATTATGATGATGATGAAGAGGAAGACAAAGAAAAAGATGGAGGTGAAGATGGCCAGGTTGAAGAGGTAAAATTTGATAAAATGCTTCTAAAAGATTAGAAAATATTTAGACTTTAATGTTGACCTTTCCATAATTTTGAGGCAAATACCCAAAGGCAAACTTCTTTAAATAGGGAGTAGTCAGAGCACAGTACAAGTTAGGAACTCCAGATTGCTAATTTCATCTGATAGATTTTTTTGGGGGCGTGGTCTGTGATCTTGGGTAGGTCTACACTACCGCTTATGTTGATATAACTTAAGTCACTCAGGAGTGTGAAAAAGCCACACACCTCCCCCTCCCCCGAGTGGCACAGGTTACAGCAACCTAAGCGCAGTCCACACTGAAGTTACGTCGCCTCTCACGGAGGTGGAATAATTATGCAGATGGGAGAGCTCTCTCCTGTTGGCATAGAGCGTCTTCACCAGATGTGCCTCAGCAGTGCAGCTGCACCAAAGTAGCACTTCTATGTATTAAATTTAACTATTGCAAACGGTTTCATAAACATCTTCAGCAATGAAGAGATTATAAAAGAAATAGTAGGGCCCAGAATCAATTCGCAAGTGGCCTCCAGTCTTAATATGAAGAGGCCAAAAGATGGAGATTCAATCATTTCTCTTGTTCCATTGGTTAATCACCATCGCTATTAAAAACTTTTGCCTAACTTCTAATTTGAATTTGTTTGGCTTTAACTTTCAGGTGTTAGTTCTTTTTATGCCTTTGTCTGCTAGATAAGAGCTCTTCAATAGCCTTTATTTTCTCTCTATGAAGGTACTTAGGCACTGTAATCAAGACACCTCTCTTCTTTTTGATAAACTAAACAGCTTGAGCTCATATGGCAGGAGATTTAAAGGTATTTTCTCTTGAGCTCAAATAATTTTTATGGTTCTTTTCTGCGCCCCAATCCACTTTTGCAACATCCTTTTTAAAAAAAGTGGACTCCACATCTACGCAGCATTCCAGTATCAGTCTCATTTCTGTCATATACAGAGGTAAAATCACCTCCCCACTTCTACTTTCCCCTCTTTATTCCCTCCAAGGATTGCATTAGCCCTTTTTGCCACAGCTTTGTACTGGGTGCTTGTGCTCAGTTGCTTGTCCACTGTTACCCCTAAATTCTTTTCAGAGTCATTGCTTTCCAGGATACAGTCCCTCATTCTGCAGGCACAGCCTATATTCTTTATTCCTAAATGCATAACTTTGCACCTGTCTTTAATAAAACACATTTTGTTTGAATGGACTCAGCTTACCAAATGATCCAGATTGTGCTGTGTGATTGCCCAGTCATCGTTATTTACCACTCTGCCAATCTTTGTCTGCAATGTTTATCAGCAGTAACTTTATATTCTTCTTCGGCCTGGTCCACACTACCCCCCCACTTCGGACTAAGGTACGCAAATTCAGCTACGTTAATAACGTAGCTGAATTCGAAGTACCTTAGTCCGAACTTACCGCGGGTCCAGACGCGGCAGGAAGGCTCCCCCGTCGATGCCGCGTACTCCTCTCGGCGAGCTGGAGTACCGGCGTCGACGGCGAGCACTTCCGGGATCGATCCGGGATCGATTTATCGCGTCTAAACCAGACACGATAAATTGATCCCAGAACATCGATTGCCTGCCGCCGGACCCTCCGGTAAGTGTAGACGTACTCTCTGAGTGATTGCTCATGTGCATTCCACTGTAGGTGTGCGTGCTCGCTATGTGCAGCGGTGCCAGAAGTTTTCCCCCTAGCAGTACCCGTAGGGAGCGCCCCTAGTAACCCCTGGAGTGGCGCCTCCATGGCATGGTATAAGGGGGGCTGCGCGCTCCCCCCACCCTCAGTTCATTCTTGCCGCCAATGAAGGTACATTGGAACTGCTCTGCTCCAGCTTGGCTGCAGCTTCCCTCTTGGACTCTGTTAGTTAATGGTTAGTAGTACCTGTAGTTGAAAGTAATTTAGTTTAGAGTTAGTTTAGTGCGCCCGGGTCGGGGCATGCCCGGTGCCCTGGGCTTTAAGTCGTGCAACACTTGCAAGCGGTTGATGCCTGTGAGTGATCCATGCGTGGACTATTTACGCTGTCTGGGGGAAATCCATCTCAGCAATTGCTGCTAGATTTGCAGGTCCTTCAAGCCTTGGACGAAGAAGGAGCGGGACATTCGGCTCCAAGCCATTTTGATGGAGTCAGCCTTGACCGCGACACCGTTGCGCCACTCCGAGTTGGCACTGAGCACCACGGCATCCGTGTGTGGCGACCCTTCGGTGCCTTCCACCAGCCGGCACCGCTCCCCGTCAACGGGACACTCCAAAAAGGCTAAGAAGAGGTCTTCTCCACTGAGACAGGGGAGAGACTAGACCCACGTTGGGCAGTTCTCGGTCCCCATCAGCCTCTGAGCCGACCTCCCCGGATGTCTGGGTGCCATCCACGCCGGAGGCACTGCAAGCAGCCTGGGACATTATGTCTCTGCTGGTACCAGGGGCGCCGCCACCGTTTGCTCCCCGGTCCAGAGGCAAGCCACCACTTGGATCCCTGCAGTTTTCGCCTGGACGGTACCATTCACGGTCTAGGGAAGGTTCCCGACACCGTTCCCCGCTCAGCGACCGCCTTGTGCGCAATCCGCGCCGGTCCCCATCAACCCCCACCATGTTGTCTGGCTGGATACCGACTGGAAGGGGTTCCAGACACTGCTCTGCCTCGAGGGACTGTAGACCTCATGAGGAAAGCGTGCCCCGTCGGGACCAGGACAGACGGCACCGGAGGTTCTTGTCTGCGAAAGGCTACCATACCCCTTCGCGGTACGGGCATTGACGCTGTTCCCGTTCTTCGTCTCGCTCGAGGTCCCTGCCGTGGCACCGCTCCCGTGGTCCCAGGTGTCGATCGCCAGCACCTCACCATCGCGGATCTGCCCATCAGAGCCGGTCACGGAGCAACTGCTATTGGCGATACCCCATTCCTCCATGCCGGGATCACGGTCTATGGTCGGCACCGTTCCCAACACCACCGCTCGTCCCGGTCCCGGGATAGCGGCAGATCATATGCCAGCCCGGCCTCTCTTTGCAGTCGTCAGTCAATGGGCCAGGCTAGTCAGGCTGAATAGCCTGCTCTGCCAGTGCCACAGCAGATGCAGTGGCACCGAGCTCCTTGGCCGACACCATGGTACCAATGGGCCCTGTGGCCCCCAACGCAGCCCCTGGTGGTGGCTCGCTCGGTGGCCGAAGCCTTGGAGAGATCGTCGGCCTCCCTTTCTCAACCTCCCAGGAAGGAGTCGGTGGAGCATTCATCCCCGGTCCTGCGCCCGGAGGGGGACCAAGCGGTGGACCTGCGGCACTGGTGGATACTCAGAGTACTGCATCCTCATCCTCCCCGGATGAAACGGTCACGGCCCCTCCTCCGCCTGTCCCGCAGGACTCTAAAGCCCACCAGGAACTGTTGAAAAGGGTGGCATTAAGCCTCAACCTTCAAGCCGAGGAGGTGGAGGAACCCTTGGACTCCCTCTTCAACGTCCTCTCGACTTCAGCACCGGGCAGGGTGGCTCTCCCACTCCATGAAGGGGTGGCAAAGATCTCGAACGCCTTGTGGCAAACCCGGCTTCCTTGCCCCCTATCTCTAAGAGGGCAGAACGGAAGTACTTTGTGCTCGCCGAGGGGCATGAATACCTGTACATCCACCCTGCCCCCAACTCCCTGGTGGTCAAGTCTGTCAACCACAGGGAGAGGCAAGGCCAACCAGCCCCTACTCCTAAGAATAATGACTCGAGAAGGCTGGATCTATTTGGGAGAAAGGTCTATTCGTCCTCAAGTTTCCAACTGAGGGTGGTGAACCACCAAGCCCTCCTGGGGAGATATGAGTTCAATTTGTGGGGCTCTCTGCCTAAATTCGAGGACTCCTTCCAAGAGCGTGACAAAAAAGAGTTCAAGGCTCTGATGGAGGAGGGGGTACGGCTGCTGCCAGGGTGTCCCTTCAATCAGCCTCGGATGCCGCAGATATGGCTGCAAGGTCTATGACCTCCACGGTGCCAATGAGGAGGGCCTTGTGGCTCCTGTTGTCTGGGTTGTCCAGCGAGGCGCAGAATTCCTTACAGGACCTTCCGTTTGATGGCAAGGCCCTGTTTGCGGAACAGATGGACGTGAAATTGCATGTCCTGAAAGATTCCCACACAACACTAAAGACCCTTGGCATCTGTCCCAGCCCTGGCCAGGACCAAGTTTAAGCTGCAGCAGGCTCCCACCCAAGCCACCCACTCTAAATATGAGCCCCCTTATAAAAAGTCTAGGGACTATAAGAAACACCCACAGAGGCAATCCCAGTCTGCACCCCAACCTGGGCCCTCCAAGGGTAAACAGGCAGGAAAGCATCAGTTTTGATGGGACGCCCTGGGTGACTTACCAGTTCATACCAGGGATCCACCCGCAATAAAGCTTCCCTTCTCCAACCGGTTGTGTGCTTTTCTCTCTGAGTTGTCGCAGCTGACCTTGAACCAATGGGTCCTCAACACCATCTCCCGGGGCTACACCCTCCAGTTTACTTCTATCCCTCCCACTCACCCACCATCCTCGTCCCTCCTCAGGGACCCCTCTCACAAGACCCTGCTCACGCAGGAGGTGGGGCGGCTCCTTGGCCTAGGAGCGGTGGAGGTGATACCAGCGGAGTTCAGACACAAGGGGTTCTACTCCCGCTACTTCCTTATCCTGAAGGCCAAAGGTGGGCTCAGGCCCATCCTGGACCTGCGAGGCCTGAACCAGTACTTGGTAAAGCTCAAGTTTCGCATGGTCTCTCTGCCCTCCATTATCCCATCCCAAGGACTGGTACGCCACCCTCGATCTACAGGACGCCTACTTCCACATTCATATATTCAAGGGACACAGCCGTTTCCTCCGTTTCACATTTGGGCAGGAACACTACCAATTTACGGTCCTCCCGTTTGGCCTGTCCACTGCTCCCAGGGTATTCACAAAGTGTATGTCTGTGGTAGCGGCCTAGCTCAGACGTCGCGAGGTCCAGATCTTCCCCTATCTCGAAAAACTGACTGGTCAAGGGCAGCTCCAGGTCACAGGTACGAGATCACGTGGCGCTCCTCTTGTCCACATGCGCCACTCTGGGCCTGTTGGTAAACGACAACAAGCCCACGTTAGTTCCGGTGCAGCGCATAGAGTTTATTGGGGCAGTTCTGGACACGACGTCGGCCAGGGCCTTCCTCCCACCGGACAGATTCGAGACCCTAAGGGAGCTGCTCAGCACAGTCACAAGGTTCCCCGTGGCCAAAGCCAGAGCATGCCTCCAGCTCCTGGGTCATATGTTGGCATGCACATATGTGGTTTGCCATGCCAGACTCAGGATGAGGCCTCTCCAGCTCTGGTTGGCCTC